CTCTGTAGTTTGGGACTGCACGGGAAGCTCGGGTTTGATTCCCTGCCAACCTAAAAAGCCAGGCACAGTGGCAGTGCCCGCAGTGCCTGTGACTCGAGGCTGACGTGGGAGGCTTGTGAGCTGGGGCTGGCCGGGGAAGGCTCCGGGCCAGGTGACTCACGGGTGTAGACCCAGCATGCAGGATTCTGAGGGTCGAGGATCACAGCACAGCTAGAACTGGGCCTCGAAACTGAAAAGAGAAGGTTTTGTTCCCCCCCCCCAGTTTATGAAGGACCACATAGAAAGGTCATACAGATTACTGACAAAGCTGGGGTGACCGAGTCCCCTGATCCTGATATCCAGTGTCTTCGTTAATTTATCTGTTCCCTGCATGGCCACCTGACAGCACAGTGGAAGCGGAGACCGAGGTGGTGTGTGTCATCAAAGGGCCACTCAGTCGGGGCATGGACGAGACACACCTACAGCCGCCTCCTGCGCGTGCTGTCAGGGCTGCGCCCAGCACTGCATGCGCTGCCTTGCTTAGTTCTGTGAAACTCTCGGAGGGGAGCCCCGCGGGAGCTCGTAGTTCGCAGAAGCACACTTCCAGCTCAACCCAGAAACGGGAGTCATGGGTGATTGCCAAGTAAAGCCAGTATCGCGAAGGAGCTCAATTTTAAATTGGCAAGTGAAGGTAATTCAGAAGCCACTGGTTTAGCTCGTGTCTTCCTTCTTCCTTAGCGTGTCATCAGTGTGCTTCACAGTGGCCATCGGCCGGCAGGCGTGACATTTCTCCCCTTAGCCGAGGCCCGGCCTTGGTTGAGTCCACCTTCTCGTGTCCATTTAAACTCCTTACAACTCTCTCTAGGTGGTTTAGGGCAGGGTGCAGGGCAATGTGGGCACAGGCTCAAGAATATCCATGTGCAGTGGAAAATTCGTGGGCATTGGCTTAAGGATCTGACACAACAGAGTGAAAGTGGGACGGCAACCCACTTTAAAACTAACCAGGGCTGGCCCAGCAGTTGGCGTAATGGCTATGTCGCTGGATTCCCACGTAGTCGACCATGGTTCGCATCCCGGACCCGGTGGCTTAAAACTCACGCTGGGCACGTGTGCGTGCATGCCCAAGATCCCGAGAGGAGAATGGAGGAGTAGGGATCACCCTGGGGGGTGATTTCTAGCTTTCTGTCTCTCTGTCTCTCTCTGTCTGGCGAGCACACACGCCCTATGGCAAAAACTTCTCCCCCCACCAAAAAGAAAGAAAGAAAGAAAGAAAGAAAGAAAGAAAGAAAGAAAGAAAGAAAGAAAGAAAGAAAGAAAGAAAGAAAGAA